TTTCAAATGTAACTAACCATTGGTCTGAACAAACTGTAGTACCTTCATAAAGTAGAGGCTTAATTGATGCGATTTGTTCTATATTTCTGAAAGCTTCAAGGACTTGGTGGCTGATCATTTTGGTATCTCCTATAGGCATATTTCTAAGTTTAACTGTAAGAAAAGATCGATTTAGGTTGATTGGAATGTATTCAAAAAGAGCTTGTTTAAAGAGAGAGATTCTGTTAGCTGCATAAAGCTGAACTGCTTCTTTATTTTTTAGAACTATTTCGAGAAATGACTGTTTTTCTCTTGATATATATAGTTTGGCTGCTACAAGATCTTTACTCAAACTAGCAGCTAGAGTTGTAATTATGTCATTAGTAGAAATGTGGTTTAAGCTTTTGATGTTTAGTATAAGAGCATTTTCATTTTTAGAGTATATTTTTTGGCTAGAGAAGGAGTTTGTAAAAATAGCTTTTTCTCCTTTAAGTCTTGTGAATAGCTCAGACTATTGTTTTGGTCTTGTACTATTATTTGTTGTATCTTTGTTTGGTGTATCTTTTTTTTTCTGATTTTTTAAAGATGTAATTGGTTGCTAACTGGTGGGGTTCTTATGGTTGATTACTGTGCTGGTGCTCACGTATTTCTGTTTATCAAATTTTGACACGTTCTTTTAGTTGTTTGGCTCAGGCACATGCTCCTGGTTTAGTGTATTTTTCTTTTTGTCTTTTTGTTCATTGTTGTTTTCTTTGTGTTTATTATTATTATTATTTTCTTTAGCTTCTAGTTCATTTTCTGTTTGACTGGCCCAGTCTGAGCTAGTTTTGTTTGTTGCTACAGTTGTTTCCATATTTGTGTCCTGTTGGAAGTTTGTGATGTTGCTTGTTTTCAAAGCTGTGATATTTTCTTTATTTTTTTTGTTTTCTTCAACTTTTGAAAGTTTAAAGACTCTTTCCTTGTCTGTTTCTGTTCTGACCTTCTTGTATGGAAGTCTGCTCATGTTTGCTGATAATAGTTTGCAGTTTTTGGGAGTTATGTATCTCCTTTTGCTTGATTTAAAAAAGTGAACTGTTTTGTTTGAATATGGAATTTTGTATTTTCTATAAGTTTCGATGGTGAACTGGAAAGAGTTTTAAAGCAATATTTTTTTGTTAAAGCTATTATTTAAACTACTTTATCTTTATGATATTGTTTTATTATACTCTATTTTAAAGTTTGATCATGCCAAAGTCAAAACATAAAAATGCCACAAAAGAATATATACTTATACAAGATAGAAATAATAAAGAAAGGTTTTCAAAAACTATAAATGCAAATAGTAGTAATTTAGAATATAGTAATCTAGAACTTCTAATTTATAAATTAGAGAACAATAATAAAAAAGAACTTAATAATAAGATAGAACCTAATAAAGAAGAAGCTAAACAGTTAATTAATAAAAATAATTCTTTTTATAACTTTAAACAAGATAATAATGCAGCTAGTAGTTGGTTATCATATTATTCTGATAGTTTAAAACATACTTAGCAATATAAAAATAAAGAGTTACAGAAGGCAGCACAAGAGTCAATAAGTTTAGATAATTTTTTTAAACCAAAAAAAAAATTAGATATTAAATATGAAATATTAGACTCAGATACAAGCAATTTAGATATAACAAATAACAGTTTAATTTCAGAACAGTTAAATAAATTAAATAATATACTTAATAATATGAAGCATATGAATGCTTATAAATAACTTTGTTATTTAGCTGTTCATAAATATCTTACCAAAATTTTTGACTATAAAAAGTTACAATCTCATATAGAATTAAGTTTTAAAATATTACAACAGGTTTTTTAATATAGTCCATAAATGGCACATCATATTCATAAGTGATCAAAAAGTTTGATAGTATCAGAGACATATCTGCCTCTAGACAAAGACAACAAAAGTACATATCAGCACTTATTGATAATAAAGATATACAAAGCTCTTGCTTACATTTTATCTGTACTATTGGTAAAAGGATAACTGCTAAAAAATTTTAAATTTATATTAAGAACAATATTTTACTTTATATTACTAGCTCTTGTATATTAATTTTATTAGAAACAGCTCAAACTTGGCTTCATTGTCTTGGCCTTGTATATCAATTACATCAACAAGAAGTTTATTATAATAGATATAAGCATCCTAATGTAGTACAATATTGTGCTGTATTTCTTGAAAGAATAAAAAATTTTGAACAATTAATGCCACAGTTTGTTAGCAAAAACATGAAAATAGTTATAAATTCTGAATTAGTAAAGGAGAAAAAAATGCATATTTTTGTTACTCATGATGAGTGTACATTCTATGCTAATGATAGTCATCCGTCAGTATGAGCTCCTCTTGGTATGTTACCATTACACAAAAAGAGAATAGGTAAAGCACTTATAATTTCAAAATTTTTAACTAAAACTCATGATTATTTTACAATTAGTTTTACAAAAATAAATGAATTAAACCTATTATTAACATTTCCACAAGAGGCTCACAAAATTATCAAACTAGTAAAACATGATAATGGTTGGTAGAATGCTTCAGATCTGCTTACACAAGTAGCTAATAAAGCAATTTTTATTTTTGAAGCAATTCATCTAAACTGCATTGGTGTCTTTGCATTTGATAACAATACCAACTATAGTGCTTTTGCAAGTAATGCATTATATGCTAAAAAATGAACCTTTACCTTAGTAGTAAACAGTCAAGATTACATGACAGCTGGTTTATTAATATACAAGATGAACAAGTTACTTAGTTAATAATTTTTTCTAAAAATCTTTCTTTTGATAATTCTAATTATGTCTTTTACAATCAATCAAAAGGAATTTGTCAAGTACTTTTTGAATACAATTTATGGCCTACTAGTGGTTTAAAACTAAAATATAAAAATAATTATTATGATTTAAATACATCTAAATGTTGTACATGTTATCTTTTGTCTGCACAACCTGATTTTACTATACAAAATCAGCATTAGAAGAACTTATTATTGAACAAGAACATGTTTGTATATTTTATTCTAAGTTTTATTGTAAGCTAAATTTTATTAAGTTATACTAAGTCATTGCAAAATGTTATTTATATGGTTATTGCAATTATTCATAGGCACATTTACAAGTTACTGTGCTTGAAGCACTTAACACTGTATCACTTATAATTATACATCATTTTGCATAGAAGACATGACATTATATAGATACTTATAGATGTGAACTTATTGGCTAAATAGCAGAATATGCTGTGTATAAGTATTGTTCTTATAGATACATTCTAAATAAAATTGATTTAGAGTTAGATTAAATGCTAAATAGTGTAAACTAAAAATAGGAATTATTTATTATTATTTTGAGTTCAAATAAGTAATGCTATAATAAAAAAAAATTTTATTAAATTATTGAATTTGGCTTTTGAAATGTATATTTTATCATATAAATTATCTGAAGGTCTTATAAAAAAAAAATTCATGTTAAAAATTCAATATTATATATGTTGAAATGGTTTACTTCAAATAAAATCTATATTAGACCTGTTTACTAGTCTACTATTGTAAGATATATTATTATTTAGATAAGTAGATATATTATTATTTAGATAAATAGATATATTATTATTTAGATAAATTATATACATAATATATATATAGTAAAAACTTGGTTTAAAAATTATATCTCTAAGAAAAGTTAGATTTAAAACAATATAACTTAGAGGTAGTAATAGAACTAACTAGAGTTAAAAAGAGGTTATTTAATTAATATGCACTATGACTATTTAAAAAATTAGTTTTATATAAGATTTTATATGCTATGATATGTAACAATTAAATTGTCTTCTTTTTTAACTCTAGTTAGTTTTATTACTACTTATAAGTATATTCAAAAATAATATGCATTTAATATAATATATTAATAGATTAGATTTCAAAAATGCTATATATAATTTAAAATATATTAAAAATTAGCAAAAGTGAATTTAGTTCTGTATTTTCAGTAACATAGTTTTTTTTTTTTTTTTTTGGTAAAGGCTATACTTGTAGTAATACTTTATTGACTTTATATCAGGTTAGCTATTACAACTATTTTTACAGAGATGAGAGTACAGCTAGTTACATATGCAACTTTTGATTGCCTATTTAAGTAGTCTGCTCTAAGGTTCTACAATAGATGCCATACCTATAACCTACTAGAAGATTATTTATTTTAAACCTTCTGATCATCTGCTCTGTTATATTGAAATCCCAACTTACCCTCTACATATATCTAACTGGTATACCATCTGAGCAGTATGATTACCTACTCTTTTTGTACTAGTTCCTAAGCCATTACATATTTCAGAGTACATTATCTGCCAGTAAGATGCAGAAGACCCTCTATTATTAACTATCTACCTACTTTTAGAATACTAATATAGGCTACCCTTACAAAGTTCATTCAGACCTCAGTACTAACTTTACAGCATATCTCTAGTACTTTTAGTATATCTCTGCTTTGAACTTAGACTTCCAATCTAGATAGCCCAGAAGTACTGTGATTGTTCTTGGTATATTAAGGCCAGTCCAAAATTTTTTTTTTTCTAGTCTGAAATCTGGTGACCTGGTTGGTAGTACCTCTCATCCAAGGTTCTTGTCTGCCCAAATCTTTCATATTAGTATCTATTTCCTAAGTCTAGCCTTTACAGTAGTACTATTGAAAATCTATGTTATCTCTTTGCTCAGAATTTTCAAGTAGGCTTTAGCTTTTCAGTTCTACAGATTTATACAAGCTGAGAACTTATTTTAGATTTGTACTGCTCAATACCAGTTTGCATTTCTCTGTATAATAGGTTACACAGATGCTCCAGACCCACCAGTTATGCTAGTGTGACCATAGTTACAGGTATCCTATCCCAACTGATTGACAAAATGCCATTGCTATAATACTGTTTATATATTACATAGGTGATTATTCAAATTTCACCATTAGTGGGTTTTGAACTCACAACCTACTACTTAGGAGTATAATAACTTATCCACTTCACTAAGCACCACACTCATAATAACATAGTTAAATGTATATAAAAAGTTGATGAAAATAATTATAATTATATAAAAGAATACAAACTATAAGCATTATTGTATTCAAGATACTGACCATGTTTAGATTTTATTATTTAATTCTAAAATAATATAGTGTGACCCAAATTATATATAAAATTGATCAGGATGACTATAAAATTTACTGTCATATTATCAGCAAAATTTATAGGATGATATATATCAATTATTATCTATGCAGATATATATCGATAATAATTCCCCTGTTGGGTTATATTGATTGAGATAAAGATCAATATATAGCTATTATAACAGAAAATCGCTATTAATCAATTGTATAAAAACCTGATATATATTGATATTTATTAAATAAATTTTATATTACTAATTTATAGCAATAAAGCAACAATGTTGTTATTTTTAAAAATGCTTAAAGTAATAACTAGTTTTATTAAAATATAACCTTTATTACATGCATATATTTGATATTAAAACTGATGTATTAACATTAAAAAAAACATGATACAAAGACAAAAAACAATATAAAAAAAAAAACAAAAAATAATACAATTTAAAGAAAAAAATAATACAAAGAAAAAAATTACAAAAAAAACTATTACTAATACTCAATTCCAAACAATTCATCCATCTTTCTTGTAACATCAATAAACTTTTTTAGAAATAAGTTTCAGGATCAGAATCTTAAAGTGAGGCCTCTTTTGATCATTTATTACTTCCAGCTTTGCCATTTAATATATTTTGTGCAGACTCATGTAATGGGCTACTACTTTCGAAATCTCTCTATGCAAATATATCAAATATTAATACTATTACCTCTAAAAATAAAATATACAATTACTTACCAAATATTGTTCAATTTTATGTCTTATACATGATTTCTTATACAAAATGCTTCATGAGCAAGGGCTGAGAAGAATGTTACAAACTGCAAGTGTGAATACACAATGTTCACTAATCATAGAGGAGATTGCCACTGTAGTAAAAGCTGTTCTTGTGATAAAAAACACTCAAAAGACATCCTCATCATTTTTTTTAAAAAGTGCATGATAGCAAGCACTTATTTCTGAACTTTCCTTCCACCTTACAATATCGGCCACAGCCATATTACTTCTTAACTGAAGCAACTTCTCAATCTCAAAAACATTTCAAATTGCTAACCTAACATTTTGAAGAACAGTGCTACAGATGTTCTTGATTTTTTTTAGAAGCTATATAATGTAAATTGTAAGTATTTGAAAAATTAAAACCAAAAACTATCATAAACAATATATAATAAAAAATCATTACTTAACACAAAATAATATAAATTGAAAAAGTTAAAAAACGATTATTAATAATTATAAGCAATAGATATAATAAAAAAAGAAATATTACTGGACTTAACCATTGATCATGAAAATAGTTTGTGAATTCATTGCTACTTAGATTAGACATAAAATCTGGGAACCTTTTCTCTAGGTAGCCCTTCAATGTTTTCTTGATTAGGGTTTGAGTAGGATACACATGATACAGGAAGAGATATTTAGCATTGCCAATAAAAATTTTCTAAAAAAAGCAAAAGACTTTAAAGTAAGTTTCATTTAAAATACAAAAAAATCACTCCAAATGTTTACTATTATCAAAACTGTATGAAATACTAACTTCCAGGACCTTCAGAAAAGGTTCATTTTCTATATCACTTCATTAACATTTTAATTCCATCTTAACTTTCTTTACATCTTTACTGAGCCTTTTCACTAAGACATACAGCTGCTGGTGTTAAGTGAAAAGTCACTCATCTACTTGCTGACAATGGTGACAGGCATGATCTTTAAGGGCAACAAGCCTCAAAAAAAATAAAAATAAAAATAAAAATAAAAAAAAGTAAATAAAAACCTTATTTTTAGTTATACGAAAAAAGGCTTTTATATAGTTTTAATTATTAATTAACATTAATTATCTTGATTATGCTAATTACTAGAATTTTTTCTTTAAATAAGAGGTTCTTTTGTAATAGCTCTTGAATTTTAGTTTTAATTTTCTTTGTAAGACTTTTTCATATTGTTTTTTTTGAGTTTTCTTTTGTATTGATATTATAGCCTAGTATTGTTATTAGGTCTTGTTTATTTTTAAGCATCTTAAAGTCTATTTGCTAAGTAAGTTCTACTTTCTTGGCATTGGTTATAATAAGAATTAAGATTAATTTAGTTTTGTTTATTTTGGCATTAAAAGTATTCTCATAATACCACAGAATTTTTAATGCTTTTGTCTAGTCTGAAAAAGTTCTGATTTCTAGTAATATATTATCTG